GACTAAAGGTAATAGGAATGCAGCAGTGATTAAAAATAGGGCACTGTGGTATTACAATAGGTATGATGTTGTGAGATGAATATGGAAAGGGGTCATGGTTCCTGGGCTGATGTTCGGCAATGCGGTCTTGTGCATGAGATCAGAGGTTCAAGCAAGATTAGAAATCAAGCAACGTGGATTAGGTAGGCTTGCTTTAGGAGCTCACCGGAATACACCAAATCAGGGAGTACAAGGTGATATGGGATGGACATCATTTGAGGGCAGGAAAGCTAGCAGCAAGATAAAATTTCAGAAGCGATTGAGAGAAATGAAGGAGGAGCGTTGGACTAGGAAGGTTTTCAGCTACTTGTACATGAAGAATGTCGATACCAAATGGAGGAAGCGAACCAGGAAGTTGACTGGTAAATACTTGGAAAACAGCAGGTGGCCAAAACAAAAAGAACTATCAGCGAAGAAGAAAGTGAAGGAAACAGAGACTGACATGTGAAAAATGGGCATGATTAAGAAGTCCGCACTAGAGATCTATCGAACTTTTAAGCAGGAAATTGCCAAGAAAAGGATCTCTGATAATACTCGGGGTAGTTCTCTACTGTTTGAGGCAAGGACGGGAGTACTGCGAAGCAAGACATATCGGGCCAAATACGAAGGGGTAGACACAGTATGCAGTGCGTGTGGAGAGGAAGAAGAAACTGCCGAACACTTGATAATGTTCTGTAAAGGGCTTCACCCTATAGTTCAGAATGATGGCGCAGAGTTTTTCAAATTACTGGGGTTTAGGGACCGGGAGGGCAAAATAGACTTTAAGCAAGTAGACTTAAATAGAAGGAGGTTATCTGATTGGTGGCTAAAGTCAAGGCACGAGTGAAAATTAAACTCATCACTGCAAAGTACGAATCCTCAAAGTCACTTTTTAAGGAAAAAATAAATAAATATAGTTTTGAATTCATTAAGTCTTATGGCTTGGTGGCGCTAGCCACCGCCCGATCTAAAGGGTACAGCCATATCCATTCATCCATCCATCCATCCATGACGTGTCTTGATGCACTCGTTCGTCTCCGCTGCACGCTTGAGGCACTCTACGACAGCGCCTCCAGAATACCATTCCCCGATTACCTTGCGCAGAACATCAAATAAATTTTTTGTTCTCTTTCCTACACTCTAAGGCAAAATTACCCTAAAAAGAGTAACAGAGCCCAACAGGCGTGCGCCATGAACGGATAGACTGTTGCAGAGCAACCACAGAGGGAAGCGTGTGCGCGAAACCACTCAGTCTCCAACACGCTCCAAAGGGATACACCGCCCGGGGATTGCAGGCAGTGTGAAAAGCGTTGCCAAGGTGACCAACCCTCCTTCTCCTCCTCTGCTGGCTCAGTCTTTCCCCGTATTTTGGCGGCGACGGTTCGCGTTGTGTCGTGCTCGGAGTGCTTGACCACGGCCGCCTGGATACGACGATCTAGGAATTATGACGTGATGCTTATGTGTACGCTTGGATGAGCGTGGGCTGCTGCTTTTGCATTTCGCTGCGTCCATGAAGTCTGTAACAAGTCTCGACACGTCCCCACGCCGGGCTGTATACTTCTAGCTTCAAGATAGTCACGACCAACACACGACTGCAACAGTTGGCAAGGCCAATATGGCGGCCGAGAAGACAACAGGCCTATCGGATATATACTTCAGTCCGACTCAGGGCAGAAAACAGCGCTGGATTCTAAGGCAAGTAGGTTATTATGCTTTATTCTACTCAACTTGTCGCTTGTGCGATACGGATTGCGCTTGCCGTGAACGGTCTCGGTCGTGTTCTATATCGCGCGCACGAAATGCATTGCGACGGTCAGCTTCAGGGTCTGCAGTTCAGCTGTGCTTTTCGACTGCCTGGAAATTGACTGCCATTGCCGTCGGCCTCCCGTACGCTCGCTCGTCGAGTGCTCGCCTTTCTTCGCCGCCGCGATGAGCTCCGGGCTGACGATAATGGGCTGAGACCTCGTCGTAGTGTTGGGAGTCGTCGAAAACACGTTGCGGGTTCTCGTAAAGAGCTTGGCTGTAGTACTTCGCGCGCTGTAAGTGCCCCAGCACGGGCTGGCGGGGCTTTCGCTTGCGTCGAAAATCACTGAAAATTGGTCGCCATAACAGTTGGCTTTCCCGTCAGTCAGTCGCAAGTAGCTCGGCGCCATCCGTTGGCCGCAACGGCGGACTTGCGGCGTTTGCGCGCTGCAATCGCTCGAGTTTGTGGAAAAGGGCCGCATTACTGTCGATTTCTTCGGAGCTAGCTCCAGACCAGCTCGGCGCTGTTCAGTGGCGGCGGCCAAGCGTACCTTCGTACGCTTGGCCACCTGATCAAGTTCGCTGGCGGCAGACACTCCCCGTGCAGCGCCGTGCTTGGTGTCGCGTTCGCTTGCTCTAGCTGAACGACGTCGCTCGCTTAGGACTCGCCGACTTGTTAGCGGCATGGTGGTTCGCGGAATTGTGGCTACGGTCGCCACTCTTAAGCTGTTGCACTACGGGGATCGAAATGAGTCTTTGACCATGTGTGACATCACGGTGAAATTATTAGCATGTCATATCTTACATATGTTTTCATTTGACCTTGCACGTACTGCTCCTATGCATTTGTATTCATCCTCTGTCACGTGTGACTCACAATTTACATACTTATTGTGCAGCCGTGGGCACACACCGTGCTGAAGACTGTGTCGCTGGCGTCTGCGATGCCTGTCATCAATCTCTTTCGTCAGAGCAGCTTCAGAAGGACTGTGCGAGATGTGAAGGTAAAGTTGTTTGTGTGTCATATTTTAACGCTTGTTTTTATATTAACGTGCACGTACTTGCATTATGCGTGCATCTTCATCTTCTGTCACGTGTGTCTAACTATTTTTACAATATATTGTACGTGCAGCCGTGGAAACAAAACAGGCAGAAGGCTGCGTGCACTGGCGTCTGCAATGCCTGTAATCTATCGCTTCCATCGGAGGAGCTCCCCAAGGACTGAACAAGATTTTACAACGAGACCGGACTTGTACACTTCACCATAAATTCACTTGAAAGAGTGGAGAAACTTCATGTGTATGTAGAAAAATAAAAGATTCCGATATGTCACTTTTGTTTTCGTTTTTGCCGTGACAGCGAAAGCAGTTAAGCATAGGTGGCTAACTATACTTTTTCTTGTGTTCTTGTCTGCACAATTTGTTGCTCACTGCGCAGAAAAAAGAATTAGGCCTGGCGAAAAATAAACAAAAAGCAATGTGTGAACTGAAGACAAAAAGTTCATCCGATTGGAGTACTTTAGTGGATCAACCGTTCATCCGGCAAGGTGCAAATGTGAGGGCTAACGGTGGCCCGGTTTGGTGTAATTGTGGGGATTAACAGTTGTCTTATAAGCTGCAAATTTGAAGACTGAATGTTAGTCCTTTGAGGTGAATTGTGGGACTAACGGTTACTCACTAAGGTGTGAATGTGAGGACTAAATATTAGTTCCTTGAGCTCGTCTGTGGGGACTAACTGTCAGACCCGGTGCCGTTACTCCTAAAGAGATTAATGGTTGTGGCAGCCCCATTAGTCCCCAAAAGGACGAATCTCACACCTTTTTAACCCCCTTTGCCTTAGAGTGTACAGACGCAAGACTATCGTATTTCGACAACATTTGCGGTCTAGCATGGAGATACGGGACCAATTTTTTTTCTCCGGGCTCTCTTGTGCTACTCTGGCGCCCATCCCGCCAGGTATGGAAGAAACTTTTTTTGTCGCAATACGCTGGTTCTTACCGAGTCCTGTTCCAGGAGACACGGTTCACCTATGACATTTCCTCCACAACGAACTTGTCGTTACACCCAGAACAGACATTGCGCATGTTTCTCGCCTCTTTGCCTACAGTTAAAATGGAAGTCTCTGCAGCACCGAAGGGCATCGTTTCGACTGAAGCTATTGCACAGCATATTTTATTCTCATACTCGAATTCCCTGTGACGTATACATAAGCCGGCCTCACTACATTTCAGCCCGCAAAGATCATGAACACAAGATAAGAGAATATAAATGTAATACATCGTCCTTCAGCAACTCTTTTTTTCCGAGAACTATCAGTCAGTGGAATCGACTTCCTCCCACAATTGTAGAAATTTCTTCAACGGATGCGTTCTTTTCTGCAATAAAAATGATTGAATCTTTGGACCGCTAAGCCCTGTAGACTACGTGTGTGCGCCTGGCAGTCGCCATGATCTGTACGGTATCTTGGTTGTAAGCTATGTTGTTTTGTTTTGGTGTTAATTTGCCCTTGTGCTAGACGAATGCTGCACTTTGTTTTAATTATCATGAGATTTTCATCAATTTTTTTTGTGGTTTTTTCTCTAATACATATGACTTTTCTGACGCATCTGTGCTCGGTGCAACTGTGTATGTTTTTGTGTTTTGGAAATCTACTTCTTTTCTCTTTTTTACTTATGTGAATGCAATTATGTGAACTTATGTGAACCTGCAATTTTCATGTTCTTTTCTGTACCCCCCCCCCCACTATAATGCCTGTATGGGCGCTGTGGGTACTAATTAAATAAATAAATAAATAAATAAATAAATAAATAACAGTGGCACATCACTATAGACACATCAGGCACCGGGACGGTGCTTTGCCGACCGGGGTAATGTCACAGGTTTATGCAAGTGCCGTAGGCACGGGCGCCTGTAATTACACCAAGTGAGTGAAGACAACGACGTTGTTGTTGTGGGGCTGAGTCTGAGGTGCCCTGTCATCCTGAATTTCTGTGCGCTTTGTGAAGTGTTAACCTGACAGGCGTGAAGTTAATAAAGACATCCCGTAAGTATAATAGGAAGCTGAACATCATGTTTCTCCTTCTGTATTGAGATATATTGTAGATGGCGTAATTATTATATTTAGTGATTTCTAATGAAGCGCTGATTATAAACCTTGCACGCAAAGTTTATGTTTGCGGTGCACATTGGTTGACACTCACGGGCTTATTTCGTGATCTGCACGAGAATAATTAGTGACAATACTTCTTAATTTGTTTATTTTGTTTTATTACGGTTTTTATAGGGCGAAACCGCGGAATAGCGAGGCATGGAATACTCATCAATTCATTTTTTGCCAACACCGCCGATGCCATCATTTCCCCCTACACCTCCTGCACCGGCGAGGGCATCAGTTGGTGCCATTATGAGAGCACCTGCAATGAAAAGAAAGAGAACTTTCAAAGCCAGTACACGTTGTCTGTAATCACTGTTTCTCGCCTGAACGAATGTGCAACACGGATGCTGTGGTGGCCTATTTTCTTATTTCGCGCTAAAAATAACGTCCAAGTTAAAAACATATTATCACTGCAGTTTCACCAATGAACATATGCCTGTATTTTCACTGCAGCAATCCTTTATTGATAATACAAAGAAGGCGACAGAAACAGTGCGCTAACTCTCCAGAAATTTTTTTCGCCTTAATTTTCACCTAAGCACTATTTCAATGTACGAATTTTAGAAAACACCTTTCCTGCTTAAAAAGTTGAAAGTTAGTGCAATCGTAAAATTTGGCGTTTTGTTACTGTCCTATTCACATATTCTAAATTAAGCATAGATTTTTTGAAGTTCAGTGCTAGAAATGTCTTGAAATGAAATGCCGCAAAACATATACTTTCATCAGAAGCCAAATATTTTTCAAAAACCGCTGAAAGTGCGTTTAAGTTTATTCCAGACCAGCACATGTTGAAGTGATTTTATGCTGAACCTCATACTGGCTAGCCCTACACTGATAACTGTTCCCAAAGTACACACACATCTTGGGTGTTCTTTACGCGTACTTGTTCTTTGGCATCGTATTAAGGCAAAATAGCAAATTAAAACTTCGTAACATAACATAGCTCTAAAGTTGAGCAATGTCCTAGTAGTATTAGGTATCTATGGACTGCATGCCAGTCTATAGGGTAGCAGATGGGCATTTGTCACACATATTTGTTGTTGTTTTCCCAAATGTGAATGCTGGCCAAGTTTTCCCAGCAATTCTGAGTCACTCGTGCAGCGCTTTTCAAGATTAGCAACAAAAATGTATTCCCTCAGAAATATGTGAACGACGCTGTGAAAAACTTAAATTGCTAGCAACTTGGTGCGGAAGTCTTTCGAAAGTGATTGTAGTCACAATTTTGGCTTGTAAAAGCTTGGGAGTTTTTGTTTTTGTTCTAAAAACAAGACACCAAGCAATAAATAAATACACCCCATTTGGCACCTTTGCTCAGTATATCACGATTGTAATGAAGAGACCTATATGGTACTTGAAATAAATAGCTTATAGGGACGTTCAGTAGGATAAGTGCAAGATTCTAGAACAAATATGTAAAAGCAAACAGTAATAATGATGGTGGTGAAAATAACTGAGGCATTAAGAGTTCCTTGAGAGTTTATAGTTCCAACCATGCTAAATACTATTGCAAGCATTTTGAAATATTTTGAGGATGCTTGGTTCCAATACACCTTCTTTAAAAAGTCAGCGGACTAAAACGATGGCGATTTGCATTACAAAACAATTGTAAACTAGGTTTTGGCTAAGCTTTTTGCAAAAATGTAAATTCAGCTTAGTGACGACGCACATGAAGAAACAAGTTTTCTTTTCTTGATATAGAGATGCTATTTATTATGCGTATGAGCATCAAAGCTGTGCACAAATATATTGGTCTCGGTGATGTTTGTGAGGCTGAAATAAATTCAACAGTGGTACCTATCACCATGGCAACAGCCACCAGCAGCTTCATTCCAAAGACACGCTTAGTGTTAGATTCACCTGCAGAGAAATGATATCGGCAAGTGTATGAGTCACGAATAATATAATTTTTACAAGAAAAATATTGAATATGCCTTGTTCTGCTCAAAACATTATTCTAGAAAATATTTGAATGTGTCTTTAGTTATCATGCAGAGCTTCTGCTGCTATCAACGACACATAGCCTTCTATGCATGAAGACGAAAAACAATAATCCAGGCACGTGTTTATTGAATTGATTTCCTTAGACTAGTGTGTTAGACTCAGAGGGACGCATTCAGGAAGGCACATCCTCAAACAAATCGGTACATCAAGTACAGCGGTAGATGACAACTAGAAAGAAGTCTCGAGCATTCTTATTGACAATAACACAGGCCTTTCCCAAGTATTGCTCACCGCCTTTACAATTCGAGCAGAAGTCTAGCCTTAGCCGAAGCGCTGCTAGAATAAGGTAAAGATCAATCTAAGGATTTCTGGTTTGTCAACGTGGCTTTCGCATCAAATAAACGAGCTTTCAAAACAGTACTTATGAGTGCTAAAGTGAACTAGTCAACTCAGATTTCATGTATACCGTAGAGTCACAAATGGCCGAGCAAGTAGCCATTGCATCGACATGTTTAGACCCTAATAGATCGGAATTCACAGCGAGTCCGTGGGCAGCCGTGTGAGCCCTGGCCTAGAAAGTAATCTCTAGAGAGATCCTGGCAAAGCTCAATTGAAAAGTAATCAAGCTGCACAGAACGTTTTGATTTCCTGTTTACATGAGAGATAATGGCGCTTACTAGAACCTCAATAAGTTTGCCCGAAATACTGCGCGTGCACTTGTCAACCAAGTAGCGCAAAGCAAGATGCTCAAGTATAATTATTCAAGGATCACTTTCTTTCATACAACGAGCTAACGAAGCATTTCTGTCTGGGTCGCAGGGTCTTCCCCCTCCATACAGTAGACAAAACAGACCCCAGGCCATTACGCTATGACTTGCAGACAAAAACCTTCCCATACCGGCTAGTGATTAACAGCACTAATGCTGCATTCTTCCTTCCAACAACATGCGATAAATTCGATTTCCCCATAGACCTCGCTGATATGCTCTGCGTTGCTCAGCGTTACGCAGCAACAAGGAAAATACTGAAGAACGATGGGACGCAGCTTTACGCAGCAATCCATTAAAGGCACAATTATGGTTAGTTCAATGGTTCCACGAAGCGGCGAAAAGTGCAGGTATTATGGTCCCAATGTGGGACAGGCCCATTTCGGGGTAGGGCACTAGGGCGATCTATTTGAATTTTGATGAAGTTCTTTCCTCCATCCATCCATCCTCGCTCTCATTGCAACATAGAATTTTAGTAACTAGCAAAATAAGCTATCCTACATTATTCAATCCTTCCACAACTTACTTAATTTCTTCATTCGCAAACAAAAGCGTTCGACAAATGAAGATTTATCAAAGTACATCGTTTATAAAATGAATAATTCTGTCGCTAAACAGAGTGCCTCCCTTGACTGGAGCAATTGTTTTATGCTGGCACGTATGCTGAAACAGAGGCCATATCGGCAGCATGATCCTTCATCTCACCTGTACTGCGATTGGTTGGTACCAATTGCTACGAGTCTCCGTAGGTCTGTGGATTCAAGCTTATTGAATGCCGACTTATATACTGAAAGTCAGGGATCAAGTACTTTGCTTCACCTGTTCTGATAGGGCAAACTGGGCAGAATAAAATAGGGGAAAATGACAGGTGAAACCTCACTAATTGATATAAAAAAACGCTATGGCGGTTAATTATTTTTGTCCTAAATAGAAACATTAAAAAAAGAACACATAAATAAAGGCCAATCACAGTTTCTCAGCATGCTTAATTGCCACCCTTCAGCCATGAGACTTTGCAGTGGAATACTACGCACTCGACGTATAACTATTGACCTACGTTGAGATGACAAACACAAATGTCAAGGAGAGATAGAAAGAAAATCACGCACGCGCATATATAGAACGAAAAGCACATGAAACAAGCATATAGGGTCAATAAAGTGTTTGTATTATTTACTGAATATTTACATGCACTGCAGTTTCAGAACTTTTCAATTCATTTCAGCTTTATTGAGCATTTTCTTCACAGAGTTGCGGAAAGAAAACGCAAGGATAAGAGCAAAAAGCTGCTTTGTAAGCAGCTTGACGAAGCTCCTACTCTTTTTCAATTAGCATTACATATCCGCAGAGCACAAACAAGGAAAAACGATTTGACATCGATTTTCAAACTTCAAGAAATTAGGAAATAAAAGGAAAAGGCATCAAGATTACATCAGTTTCAGGATTACATAAAATAAGCAAATCACAAAGAGAGAACAACAAGAAATAAAACAGGAAAACAGCGTACGGTCAATCATGAAACAATGCACACGTTGCAAAACGAACAACAAAGTAATACAAAATGATTATGAACGTTTAGAACACTGCGTATGCAAAAAGCACAAGTTTTGATCTTAAAGGAAAACCCTCACGAGTGAAATGATACATGTTTTACTCGTAAAAAAAGGAACGAAAAAAATGGCAAAGAAAGCAAACATCATAGGATGCCATGTTACACACGAGCACTATTATACGGTGTTTTTTTTTTTTACATATAGTATTTCAGTCGGACAATTAGAAGATTCTAAACTATCATAATCATCATCATCTTCATCATCATCATCAGCCTGACTACGTCCACTGCAGGACAAAGGCCTCTCCCATGTTCCGCCAGTTAACCCGGTCCTGTGCTTGCTGCTGTTAATTTATACCCGCAAACTTGTTAATCTCATCTGCCCACCTAACCTTCTGTCTCCCCCTAACCCGCTTGCCTTCTCTAGGGATCCAGTTAGTTACCCTTAACGACGAGCGGTTATCCTGCCTACGCGCTACATGCCCAGCCCGCGTCCATTTCTTCTTGATTTCAGCTATGATATCCTTAACCCCCGTATGTTCCCTAATCCACTCTGCTCTCTTCTTGTCTCTTAAGTTTACACCTACCATTTTTCTTTCCATTGCTCGCTGGCGTCGTCCTCAATTTAAGCTGAACCCTCTTTGTAAGTCTCCAGGTTTCTGCTCCGTAGCTAAGTACCGGCAGGATACAGTGTCATATACCTCCCTCTTGAGGGATAGTGGCAATTTACCTGTCATAATTTGAGAGTGCTTGCCAAATGTGCTCCACCCCATTCTTATTTTGCTAGTTACTTCAATCTCGTGGTTCGGCTCTGCGGTTATGACCTGGCCTAAATAGACATAGTCTTTTACAACTTGAAGTGCACTATTACCTATCTCGAAGCGCTGCTCTTTTCCGAGGTTGTTGTACATTACTTTCGTTTTCTGCAGATTCATTTTAAGACCCACCTTTCTGCTCTCCTTGTCTAACTCCGTAATCATGAGTTGCAATTCGTCCCCTGAGTTACTCAGCAATGCAATGTCATCGGCGAAGCGCAGGTTACTAAGGTACTCTCCATTAACTCTTATCCCTAGCTGTTCCCATCCTAGGCTTCTGAAAACCTCCTGTAAGCACGTGGTAAAAAGCATTGGGGTGATTGTGTCCCCCTGCCTTACACCCTTCTTGATTGGTATTCTGTTGCTTTTTTATGAAGCACTATGGTAGTACTTATCTCTCTGTAGATTTCTTCCAGGATGTTTATATATACTTCATCTACGCCCTGATTCCGCAGTGTCTGTATGACGGCTGATGTTTCTACTGAATCAAACGCCTTCTCGTAATCTATGAAGGCTATGTATAGTGGTTGGTTATATTCAGAGCATTTCTCCATTGCCTGATTGATAGTACGAATGTGGTCGATTGTTGAGTAGCGTGTTCGAAATCCTGCTTGTTCCTTTGGTTGATTGAATTCTAATGTTTTCTTTACTCTGTAAGCAATTACCTTTGTAAATAGCTTGTACACTGCAGAGAGCAAGCTAATCGGCCTGTAATTCTTCAAGTCCTTGTCATCTCCTTTCTTCTGTATTAAGATGATGTTAGCGTTCTTCCAAGACTCTGGTACTCTTCCCGTCAGGAGACACCTCCTAAACAGGGTGGCTAGTTTTTCTAACACAATTTGTCCTCCATCTTTCAGCAGATCTGATGTTACCTGATCCTCACCAGCAGCTTTGCCTCTTTGCATGCTCTTCAAAGCTTTTCTGACTTCTTCTATCATTACTGGTGGGGTGTCATCTGGGTTACTGCTAGTTCTTATAGTATAAAAGTCGTGGTTGTCCCTGCTACTGTACAGATCTCTGTAAAACTCCTCCGCTATTTCAACTATCCTATCCATATTGGTAGTTATTTTGCCCTCTTTGTCTCTTAGTGCATACATCCAATTTTTGCCTATCCCAAGTTTTCTCTTCGCTGCTTTGAGGCTTCCTCCGTTTTTCAGAGCGTGTTCAATTTCCTCCATGTTATACCTTCTTACATCGGATACCTTACGCCTATTAATACTACACGCCGCCATTCTGGATGAGAAGCTTCTTAAGTTGTTTTTTGTATATTAATGATGGCGATGTTTTTATTTTTAAACATGTGAAAACATGTACGAATACAGTGTTCAAGTTTTCTCAAACCATGATTTGTTCGCGAATAAGGAATGAACCAGGAAGGCCTTTTCCGAATGTCATAATGGGATTGTGTAGTTTTCCTGAGGTTACACAGTTTAAGAAAACAAGCGTTGTTTGATAGCAAGCTTTGTTTGTATTTCATAATAAGGTTAAAGCTGTGTATGTGATTGATCGGTAAAATGTTATATTCTCTGAATAAATCACTTGTATGTGCGTCGTATGGTACGTTTGCAATATGACGAATCGCTTTTTGTGAAGTAAAGATATTTTATTGCGATTTTCTTTAGATGTCTCTGCCCACACTAGACTACAATAGTTTATGTGAGATGAAAACAACGTAATATAGAGTAAAAGTTTAGTGTTTGCTGGAATCATCTGTCGAAGTTTAGAGAGTGTACCGCACGTCCTCTATAGCTATATTTCTAGTTACTTTATTAACGTGTTCGTCCCAATTAAGATTTTCATTAAAATTTACTTATAATGATGAAACTTTTTTGAGAACCTGAAAATTTCGGGCCCTAGGTGTATATACAAACCACGAAAAACAGCCTTCTGAACCGGTGCGAATACCACAGCTTTGAATTTTTTTGTGTTGATCATTAAATAATTTGCAGTACTCCATATGAAGATGCCGTTAAGAATTCAACTATAGGTGCAGGCATTTTGTGATTTTAAAAGATTTGGAGCACAAAGGCTTTGACTGTCGCCTTTATGCGTTGTGTTCTGGCATTTGCAGCGCATATATAAATACGTAAATAATACTTGTTCGTCACCGTATTTTGTACCAACCGGCACATTTGGGCTTTTGCAATAAGTAAGAGGTCGGTGAATATATCTCTTCCACTAAGCCTTCCATTTTTAATATAGGCTAATGCCCTAGCTCTGGCTGTGGCGCTTCTCTGCCTTCTAATAAATCATGTCTCTCTTACCGTTAAATACTTTTTTACTAGAAGAGGTGGTCTTATTCCAGAAAAAAAAGTATGCTTTACTTTTGGGTATCGCTGTCACAAGATGAGTGTAATTCAATTGCAGCACATGGTAATAGTAACTTTATTTTATTTGCTTTTCGGCCATTGCGACATTCTATCTTAACAAGTAAAAGAGACATTTCTGAATCGATCTTTTGACGTAGCCAATTACGCTTGATTTATAGCGCGGTGCTGCAGACGTAATACAGTCATCTCTATAGACTTGTGGTTTTTTTGCATTAGGCCTAATAATATTTTTATACGACCAAGTGTAATAGTACGTCACTACTCTGCCTCATGTCCCAGGTCCAAGATTTGTCAAAATTTTTTATAGAGTTCGTGTATGTTTTATATCTTTAATAAAAACTTTAGAGATTTAGCGCTATCTTTCCCAGGGCCAGCATTCACAAATAGATTCATCAGAGCCATTTTCTTCTAGATCACGACAATAAAGACTATATGCATTGTCGTTACCTATAATGACTTTGCTAAAGCAGTAAGACAACATCTCAAGAGAGGGCACAATCACTTGACATAGAGACGATAATAATCGATCGACAATTATACAGTGAAATCAGTTATGAGACTTTGACAAGGCTATACTCTGGCGCCATAGTTTTCTCACTGAGGCCTCTGCCCCTTACCACTGCTGCGCGAAATAAAATAACTATTTACTATAAGCATAACGAGCACCGCTTGCGAATATAATCTGGACGCTCTGCGTGGCAGCTCAGTATTCTACAATGTAGATGCGCCGGTGCAGAAACACCTTTGCGATCTGACCTATGAATGGTTTATGTCGGGTAAGGAATCGCGGCAACATGAGTAATACAGAGCTTTAGAAACTTGAGGATCAATCTATGAAGCGTCACGCTATGTGAATAGCTTTTGTTATGTGATCATTTTCTCCATGCCTGTTTTTGCGCAGTTTCCCTTGAGTATTCCTTGAGTTTCCCTTGAGTAACCCCGTTTCACCTGTACTAACCAGCCCTTGAAGACACCCATGTGCTCTTACAAAAGTCTCAGGCATAATTCGCTAACTTCCTCAAGCACAGCATCAACAACGGGCACATTAAGACTAGCAAGTCTGTAGCGATTACCATGCTTTTCTGAATAATGACTGAACAATGACATAGTAG